CAACTCTTCTTATAAAATAAGACGTAGTATCGTTTCTGCTATGATCATGGTCTAACTATAAAAGAGGCCACAACAAAAATGAGAGTTCAGTTATGAGAACTCTGGTCAGAAGTCATAAGAATTGAGTCTCAGATAGTCAAACTTAGTCAGTCTAAAGAGGGTTTTACGATATACGAGTCATAAGTCATAGTTGAGGTTCGATTACAACTAAAATATATTGTTTGTACTAATTTTGAAATAAAGTGGTCCTAAAAGCAAACTTTCAAACTAAGTAATAAAATTCTATCAAATTGGTTTCAACAATAGTTCTTACTTATTGTCAATTCAACATATTTGATTTCTGCAAGTGGTTAGAACAAATCTTTGTAAAACTAGCTGATGCAATTGCAAATTGTAAAATAGATATGCATTGAGAGTGAATCTTTGAGAAATGCTTTCCTTGGAATCATTACAAAATATTGTCTACGTAAACAAACTTGTCTCTTGCTTGAGAAACCTGTTTTTCATCGATTTGAAATAAATTGAATTGAATTAGATTTATGTTCAATAATCGTAAGAGTTTTAAAATCAATTTTCAAAAATAGAAGCAAATATTAATACTAAAGGAAAAGCAAAACCGGAACTCGGCAATAAATTATATAGGGAAATTGTTTCGAAATATAACTGCAAAACATGCTGGTAAGCAAGAGGCAATCTGTGATGAGAAAATCCTATTGATACTTATTAACAAAGGTGTCCGAATTGAACATTTTTCTTCAAATTAACCATTCTTTATTGCTCTATGATTGCTTGATGGTTCATTACAATTCCCTCTTCGTATTTCATGGCTGGGTAGTATTATCTGTTTATTGTGTAACTTGATACATTAACTGCAAATAAATTCTTCAAATTGTAATGAATACATACATCTATAGCATTAAAAATGACATGAGATAAAAATGATAAATTATAACTGTATATGCAAGCTAGAATCGCGTTTCATGTTTGAGATAAATAAAATTAACTGAATACATGATCTAAGTGTTCAGGTGTTTCTTATTGTCTCAGTATGCCTGTTTGAGAAACCTCGATTCATCGTGCCCAGTGGACAACGCAAAGCCCAACAAAAACCGATCGATAGGTTATGCGTTAGCGTTAAGTGTTAACTGAGATCTAAATTGGTCACAATAGAATGCACTTTACCTGTTATCCTCAAAATAATATTGCACTTAGGAACACTTGATAATCATATGCGCTTAAAGTGTTTAACAAGTCATAAAAAACAGTGAAAATGATGTGACAGTGGAAGATATGAAGAGTACAAATCAAAACGATCGAACACAATATCTGACTTAAATTCTCACTGTTAAAATATAATCTTGAACTGTTCTTAACTGTGTTTATTTGTCTGCGATTATTCGAGAAATATATTATATTCAGCTATAATTGTATATGCATAAACTAAAAATCCTTACCACGCTTGCAAATAAAGTAACTAAAAAAATGCATTCCATAGTTGGAATGATATTTCTATATTATATTAATTAGTATAATACCACTACACTGAAATAGCGAACACTCGATCTATTGATAATATCGACGTCAATACAGTAAAAATCACGAAGTAATCAACGTAACTGAGAACGAGACATACATCGAGAAATAGTGAAGTGTTACCTGAGTGCAACATTATAGACATTTATAATCACTATTTAGATACCACTATCACGAAGTACCTAAGTGTCACTTTTGGAGCGCTGCATAGTCATGCTCTTAAAAGTAACTGTTGAAATGTTGTTATTGTACATTAGTCGATGAGAGTCGACAACTGTTTTCCTGCCATACTTTTACGTAGTTCATAATTAAAGTATAATTCTGGCTAGATAACTTGAAAATTAAATAATATTACAAATCTGCTTATTTAATTATTAATAAGCCTATTGGGCTTTTTGCCGTTTTCTACAAATTTCTTATGAACAATGTTATATTTTCAACGTGTACCAAATGTATGATTTCATAGGAATATATCATCGTAATAACTACTTGCGTTCAACGAGGAACTATGCATTTAAGTGGGAAATTTCCGGTTCTTCTCTCCATTAAGCGAATTTTCGAAGCGGTAGCGTGTAGGTTTTTCGTTTTGGTTATTTCCCTGACTTGTGGCCCACTGGTAATTATGTTCTTAAATGTTGATTTAGTGGTTTCGTTGCTGTGCCAGTATAAATCAACCGATATTAAAACAACCGCTTGCCGGGATTTTTGCTAAATTTTAGTGGAAAGCTCCGTTTTGTTTCATGTGGAGTTCCGACAGCAATAAATTCTTCTCTCCTGCTACAAAAAGGTTTAAATGAGAAATCTAATTTAAAATTGAGTTTTGCCGTAGGTTGGATTTAACATAGTATATTTGAGCGTTTATTTAAGCGTTCGAAAACAATTTAATTATATTTGGGGTGGAGATTATATTTATAAATGATGTGGTTTATTAGTGACCGTAACGGCGCTGATTATTTTTATATATAGAGATTACCTCATTATATTTGGGATCGCGATGTTATAACTTCAACTATAAACTATCTATTTAACTTGGAAATGGTTATGATTTCTTAACCAATTTTTTGTTCGTCTGATTTACATGAAACAGAATGCTTCTAAGAAATTAGATGAGTTGAATCTGAACAGATAACTTTAATCTATGTAAAAGTGAGAGCTGATGGCTTAAGAGGTTATATGAAGGTTCTCTCAAGTGCTGATATTCAAGTCTGCAATCAACTAAGAGCCCTTTCACACGGGCCACTCTCCAGCGCTTCTCAGTGGCGCTTCATAAGCGCACGTTAACATTGTACCAACCCCTTTGCAGTGGTTCTCGGTGGCACTGATGAGAATGAGGCACGTATGAATAGCTCCATGTAAAACAATGTTCAAAACGCGCTTCTCAGCAGCGCCAATGAGAAGATCTGCAGAGTGGGCCGTGTGGAATTGCTCTGATTAATGAGCTCTGAAGATATGATGAGGTACTGACTTATTTTTCTGACTTCGCTCGATTTACGACTGCTCGGTTGGTGTTTACCTCCCTAGATAGAACTGAAACATCAACTAAATACAGAAACCGAACCATGGTTTTGCCCCAACAAGACACCATTAATGTTAACCCATGCACCCTAACAACATTTTTGAAAAAGTATTTAATGGGCAAACTCTTGGCATACGCCAGCCCAAAGTGGTTATTTCTATTCATTTAGAAGTTAAAAATGTACACCATAAAACATTTGATCCGCCGAATGATCTTTTCGATTTTTGAGCAGTATTGAGGTAGCTTGAAGTTTGTCAAATCTTACGTTTTCTCAAAGGTCCGAAATAACCATACAGTTATGAGCATCTTCTCAATGGTATTGGAAACTACATTTGCCTTATTGTCATATCACTACCAGTGGGATCTCCTGAAGACATTGGACAGAAATATTATAATTTATGAAGCTTCTTGTGACTTAACAAATAATATCCCAAAACTGGTTTAATATATCAAATACGGCATAATAACTTTTTCAAATGCAAATCTTTTAATATTAATAGAATCAGCTCGAAATAGCTAATTTTTTCAGTATTACTGAATATTCTGTTTGCTGAAAGAAATAGGATTTTTGATTTTTTATTGATTACTGTTGTCAGCAATAGATAATTAATGTTTTGAATCTGCAATTAAAGGAACATCAACTGCAGTAAAATGCAATCAAAATACCAAATTAACTCAGACTGGTTGCTCTACTAAAAGACTTGTACCAACTGGTCGCCAACCAGTTCAATCTACATGGTTCGGATTTAAAAGGTAGCTGAAAAAAGCTACAACTGACGCAGAGGTTCCATAACATTCGAATATATTTTCATGCTGCCGTTTTTTAGGTCACGTGAGTTCAAAAGAATCTGATAAAAGTCAGCCTTAAATTTAAATAAAAAAAATTCCTTGTTGTTGTCGTAAGTTGTGTCATTAAGCCTCTTCAAATTTATCTAGCTGACAAATATTTATAAAGTTAAGGATATAATTAAGGATTCTTTAAGAAATTGAAAGAAAAATCTATTATTTGACAAGTCTTCCCGTGATAGTGGTAGGCTCCCCCTAAACAATTTGCCGTTTCAGAAACGTATATTAAAATCCCGAAACGTTTCAATTACCTGCACTATTTGTTTCAGAAATGTATATGTAACTGCAAATGTCCGCCCGCAGAAACGTTTCACCGAAACATTCCTAAAACGTTTCAAGGAAATGTTACTGAACCGTTGCCCTAGATGTTATTTAAACGTTGCAAATAAATATTTTGTAACATTATACATTATATAATATTCATCAGCCTTTTAGTACATAAATGAACTGAAAAACTCGAAATGAGAACAGCATGACACCGTCCACATGGTTAAGTTAGAGCTACTTTAGTTAAATATACTTGCCTCTTCTAATGTTTCTACAATTAAAAAGTATAGATATGTTTTGCACACCTTTGTGCTTTAGTGCGCTGAGGATTACTGCTTGCCTTTTTATTTCGCTTTTTATA